CCGAAATTTAGACCCATTTATAACGGAACTCGGCCCATCTTCCCTTCCCTCGCAACCCAATCCATATTGAGTCGCACACTGCACTTCACTGTCATGGTAACACAACGCTAGAAACAATATCACAGTTACCCGTCGGCGAGAGTTAAACTAAGGATTTTAAGTTGATCTTGTTTTTAGTGATAAAGAGTGTCATCATATAAAGACTACTGTGCGAAAAATCTGTGGTTCACGCATCACCTCTTGCCCAACGTTCAGGCGCTGAATCATTGATTCGCTTCTTCACCTGCCCCAGGCTACCTCCCATTTCCTTTTAGAACCTGCGGTGCAATAAATCCTGTTTCTCCGTATGAGGTTATCCGAGTCCTTGTGACACACAAGGTTAACAAAGCTCGTGGTCCTGATCGATTAGCATCTCATTTGCTAAACTCTTGCTCCTATCAGTTTGCAACACCTATTGTCCAGTACATGTTTGTCCTCCGGAACGAACCCCAATTGCTGGAGGTTAGTCCGCATGAGACCCATCCCCAAGAAATAACTTTTAAAGTACTGTCCAATTGTCTGCTCATCTTTGTTGTTGAAAGCCTTTACAACCGTTTTGCTGCACGGCATCACACGATTGTGAAGCTCAAATGAGCCATTACAGTTTTCCAACAAATTTCATATGTCCACACAAGAGACTGTTGCCCAAGTTGTTCACCTGATACATCCGCTTTGAACCAAGGTGCAGGTGCTGCTCCTTTAGCTTTTCCTGATTTTGCAAACGTATTTGATTCTCTTGACTGAAGAGTGTTCATTGAACTTCTCGTTAGGTTTGGTCTGACACCTCAAGTTTTGAATGTTCCAATCGACTGCTTCTTCCGTAGAACGCAGCTTAATTCATTTGATGACTCACAATTGTCTTCCCTCAATATCAGCTCTAGTGCTTTTGAGGATGCTACTTTTTTGTTTAATGTTTCCATTTACATTTGTAGTAACTTTAATGCTTGCAAGTATGCTGGTGAGATTGTATATGGTCGACCTTCACTCAGTTCGGACAGATGTTTTTCTCTCCAGGACAAACCTAATAAACTTCACGATTGTTCTGTGCTCCGAAACCTTTTATTTAACATGTATAAGTGCATTGACGCACTATTTAGTCTTAAAATCGATTATCGTTATCTTTCATTGGTAAGTAATCTCCCTCCTATAGTAAGTAATGAAAGCATCCTCAAATCGGTTTTCATTGAATACCTTGTTGTCACCCTGGTCTTCTCATGTCATCAACGTTATTTTCAATGTTCACAAACTTCAGTATCAGGAATTTAGCCATTCCACCTCATTTTATTCTTAAATTCGTGATAGCTTGCATCGTTCAAAACCGGTTATACTGCTCCCCGATATTTATCCGTGATTTAAAAGAAAGAAAACGTTTTCACCTTAGTTATCAGATCCCTCAAACTTTGTCTCGTTACATTGATTGATTTGTTTTTCATCGCGTTTCTTTATTTTAGGTATTTCGACGCTTGTGCTACTTTGATTGATCGGAAACATGTCGTCAGGGGCATTGTTTGCGTTCCGAAATCGGAGAGTCACGTTTAATCCCTGAATTCTTTTCAAATAAAAACCCCTTTCTGCGAATACTTCCCCACATAGGAACACCTTTTTCAGTTATTGTCAAATCGTAAGGCGATTGTCATTCACCGGAGGAAAACACTCTTGATTTATGTTTTGCTCATTATCAAATTTTTTTTCGTTAGTTTTCTCTGACCGCAACTTTTCAGTTACATTCATCATACAAGTTTCGTTATTTGCAGAATATTCAACATTTGAGAGCATAACGTTTTTCCTGAAGTGCTCATTCATTTCGTTATTTAGACAGATGAACGCTATTCAGTAAAGCCGAGCGCACCTTCAATGATGCAAGTTCGAGAAATAAATAGTTCCTTGGCCCTTATACGTGCATTACCAAATAGCCTTAATTATCCTATCTATTCCCGTGTCAAACGCTGATTATGAACGAGCCACATTCAGTTATCTGCAAGAGATTATGTTGACTGATGCGTGAGGTCTACTGACGTCAAAAAGTCATAAACCATTAAATTACTATGGGACTGCCACGCGACGTGATCAAAAACACTTTCGTTTAAAAAAACACTGGCTTCTCCGGGCGCCTTTCGACGTCATGTCTATCGCTTCTGATGTGGGTGTGGTGGTAAATGCGTGAGGAGAGTGAAAAAAATAATTTGGCAATTTGTTTGATGATGACTGTGATTGGCTATTTTTTTCAGACATCATTTTAACTCACTTTAGCAAATCAACCGTGCAAATGAGAAGCCCCGGGTACTTTTAGAGCTCAGCTTCACATTGAAGGTGTTTGTGATGACACCGTCCCTATCACCTCTTACTGGATTAACCAGAATTACCAGTTAAAGTATATTCATACGTCGTCCTCAACAATAATCAACCAGTCCACTTGGCCTGACAGTATCGACCGCATGGTGACAATCTGCACAAGTCTTCCGCCGAATAAAATCTTACATGAAGATTCGGGCAATACTGCAAAGAGCAAACCAAGTAGACTGTAATGACTCCGGCTCATAACCTGATACTATTGATTTGTGTCTCACTACCGATAGGGCTAGTGCGCGCTATTTATGGGTCCCAAAATTGGCAAACCTCTGCCCTGGTGGTCTTTGTACAGCTAATAAGGGTTTCGGTGGATTACATAGGCCCACATATAGTGTGACTTAGACTATAAAAAAGTGAACAGTTCTGTGTCTGTGAATTCGCATGAACGTGAAGCACGATTGTTGTAAATTAGTATCTGGCCTTGAAATAAGCATTCGAATACGCTATTAACTATGTAGATGAATTACAGAGATATATATTGGGTCTCTAAATTGAGCATAATGTAGAATTTCCGTAGTGTGTTCATTTCCCTTCAAAGGAAGAAAACTTTTACGATCACAGGATGAGTTCATGTAGACTATTCCCGGGTAGTCGCATCAGCTGCGTACACTCTTCCAGATCACATTTGGGTAAAAGAATGGCAGTTTACGGGACAAGAGAACACACACGGGGAAGAAAAATCAATCAATTCCAAGGCCCAAATTCGCTAATTCGAACCGGATTGAATACAAGGGTGTGGAGCCTGATCCCTGTAAGGAGTGTATGAAGAAGAAGGAAGAGGATAGAGGCATTTAACAAGATGGCGGAAGGCTGCCTGATTTCCGTTCCCCATTTGTTCTACTGTCTCCAAACAGGTTACCCTTTTAAGCAACCGTGATCTGGAAATACAGTGTGATTGCTCCATCGATTCATCTGGTCTTGTCCCTGTCAACCACGACCTCAAACAATTAATTTCCCCCCGATCCACTAAGCAAGGCATTCTAATGGCGTGATATTTTGGACAAGGTGCGGGTTCTCGCTCGGATTCGGCGGGCATAAATCACTACTAGCCGCATCTGAACCATCCGATCGATCGATAAATGAACACGATTATTCGTGTGATTCTCGCACTTTCTTTCGAGCTATGGCTGATGAAGGAGTCTTGCATTTTCTACCGTTGTACTTATGCAGCACACTAGCTGTCCATTTGGTCATCCGACTTTGGACCAAATATGGAATACGTTCAATCACTCGGTTACATAACCCTTTTTATCTCTCCCCTTTGTTGTGTTGCCATGCTAAAAACCTATCTAAACGTTGTGTTTTGTGCAATATGCATGTTGAGATGCAGCGACATCATCCTTGGCATAAATCGTACAGTAGTGCTATAATTGATTACCGGAAAGGTTTGTTTCAATCGGGACTAAGCTTCAAACCCAGTAAATGTGTTGTATGTTAAAATTCACCCATACCTTATATTCACTTTTATTTGCAAACAAATAGCCGGAAACGAGTAAACATCGTCTTAAACTTGGAACGTGAAATGTCCTGATGCTGCCTCTAAACAAAGTGTTCCCCGCTAAATATGTTCCGTGCATATATAGTTATTTCAGTGAAGTATAAGTTTCAGTGTTTGCAAAAGTAACACACAATACAAACGAAAACAATCTTTCTGTCACATAGTTATCGAGAGCGTCCAAAGTGGAAACAGCCGGTTGGGAAAATACTGAGAAGAATTTTACGTTCATGGTAACATAAAAAGGATACTGGAGATAGCTCAAGTGTTGGCACACTGTCATCATTGCATGAACGTTTTCTATTCCAAATTGCTTGGATGGTGTATTGCTCCATACCTGATTCTCTTCCCACGCCTAGTTTCAGTTTCAGCTTTTACAACCGTTAACAATGCATCTTCATGCGCTGGTTTTGGCTGCTGTCTTTTCGCTACCCAACGCTTAAACAGCATATAACCTATCACATTGTATAGGTTCTACAATCACAAGGTCAATCGGATTCATTCACAGATCAATCGGATGGTTCAGCTTCAAAAAGTGATGATGCATGCCTACCTGATCCGAATAAGAAAACGCACCTTGCTCACAACCTCGAGCCGTTAGAATGCCTCGTGAAATCGGACCGTATATAACAGAAGTATCATCATCACACGGTCGGATTACAGGCGACAACAAGAGCATTGTAAACCGGTGATCGAACCGATGATCAGATAGTCTCGTGTCAAGGTGAATGGTTCCAAGTTGTGCAACTAGCGGAAAATGATCCAGTCAGATAGCTTAGCGGGTCGTAGAGAATTTAATGGTTGGAGGCCGTGGTTGACAGGGACAAGACCACGTGAAACGATGAAGTAATCGCGTTGTATATCAAAGCTGATACAAATCCGACGAAATAGTCACATTTAACATATCCTGTGTTCAAGATGTTTGGACTCAATAGATAAATAAACCATTCGCAGCTAATCTCCACCTCGGATGACACATTTTAAAAGATCGTTGCAATTTTAGCATTTATCTATTTCAGGTAAATTGGAACAAATTTATGACAAAAGAAGACTACGAGGTGGACTACAAAGCGACCACAGCTATTTGCTAAGATGAGATTGGTATCACATAAAATTTATGTGTCGAACTTTCGCTGCCGAGGCCCTTGGACTGGGAATGATCATTTTTATTGTAAAATGTCACGCAGCTGAACACGAGTTAAAGAGTCCATTCAGCGGTGCCGCTTCCGCCGCATTCGCTGTCGCCATGTGGACTGTGGGGCCAGTCAGTGGACTGCAACTCACACCGATCCTCTCTGTTGTATTCCTGATAATCAGGCGGATCAATTTTGTCTACTGCATATTGGGAATGGCTGGACAACGTTTTGGTGCCGTGATTGGATTAGCACTGGCCTCAAGACTGGTACCCGGTCTGCTAGATAACGCTGCTTTAAATTTACACGTCCTAGAAAAAAATGTGAATGACGGACAGGTTTTTGGATTGGAATGTTTATGCAGTTCTCTATTGATTATCTGCTGTTTGAGCACGCTGGATGAATTACGAAAGCTGCATTAGACTCAAGGATATGAGACGGTGTTCTCGCTCATTGTTTTCCTTTTGATTTTCTATCTATCTTCTATCCTCATGAGTTTGGCACAGTTTTCCAGGAAACCAATTGTACACAACCAGTCTCATAGACTAACAGATCAACAAACAGTTCAATTCTAACTGAAACCCTGTAGAAGATTACACAATGATGATTTAGGTTCAAATTAGACCGCGATCATGATGAAAGCTTCTAGATTTGATCCATAGATCAAAGATTTATTATGGGAATAAACTTACAAGCTCATGTTTTTTCTCGTCCTATAGGTTCGTGTTACGGTTAAAATACAGTGATACATACAATTCCTTGCGTAAAATACCACACGATACGGGCTTCTTCCACTGTTGTACGTAGCTTCCCTTATGTTGGACTCTAAGGTGTGCAAATGTTGCATTGAGTATCAGTTTGGAAGATTCAATGCTTGGTGCATAGACGACGTGGGGCGAGAGAGAGTTCCAGATGGAACACACTCTGACTGCGAATGATTGACGGCGACATTCCAATCGGCATTTTGAGACCACTAGTTTGAACGGATATCCTCTAAGATGGACATTGGGTGATGATTTTAGCAGCAGACGACACGTATGACTTGCATTTTACATTAATTGCTATACCATAATCGTGGCTGCTCTGATGCGCCGGTAGTGATTGGAATATAACCCCAGTGATCCAGCGAACAAGAGTAATATTCCATTTATTTCGAGTCGGTTACAGACTATTAGGTGAGTTCGCAAAATATACTGAATAAGCAACACATTTTCTTTATCTGGTTTCCGTGTTTGTTGCTTTCATTTCCAGATGCGTGTGACCGGATGTGGAATGAATCCGGCAGCAACTTTGGTAGGCGCCATTTACAACAACTCATATGGAAAAATATGGGTAAGATTCGTCTATACGTGTACGGTTAAAGAGGAAACATATCAAGCTTCACATAAGATAACCCCTGGTTGATATAACCAGTTTCCCAAAGGAAATGTTTTGCGAGTGTGTTATCACACCGGAATGAATATTGTTCTTTATTCCTAAAAGTGTCAGCAAAATGATTGTTTCCACTTCATGCTTGAGCAATCAATATCTTATGTGAAACCGTATATGCAGATATTTTTATCGCTTGTTGTTGAGAGCAAATAAAATTTAAATATAGCCATAATCATTAACAAAAATTACTGAAGCATTGGGACATCTATCAGTGTGGAATATGAAAGAACGGTAAAACACTGTTAAGTTTGGAGAGCAGGGTTTATTTGTATTAATTTGCGGTTTTCAAAGCCTTCAATAATTTCAACGACAGCCTATCAGGAAATAAACCACGTTGGTATTCACAATGTTGTTCACTGAATAACCATGGAGTACATCAGAAATACTCATACATAACACTTGGCTGTCCTGTTTCATTGTTATTTTGCAGATTTTATCCATTTTCTCCTTGTGCTCATTGTCTGTTTCTTTTTTACCCGTGCAGCTTTACGTAATGGATACACTGTGTGGATGTTTCATCGCTGTCTTGGTGTGGGAGATAATGCTCAGTGATGGCGTGTCAGTGTATCGTATGAAACACTGGTTAACAAATCCCAATTTCGATCGACACAGGGATTACAAGAAGCGCAAAACCAATAGGGGAGAAATAGTATTTTGATGCATAAACCATGTTAGGTATCGTTCTAGTTGGTTACTTGTTCGAATTATTTTACCCAAAATTTCCTTCTGGGAAAATGATATTCGTTAGTTCAGGTGGTTGCTGATCATTATATTATTTATAATTATTGGTATTGCTGCTGCGTTATTTCATCAAAGAATTGCTTTTACAACATGACCCCGTAAATCTCTTCGAATGCTATCCTTAACTGACAATGTATTTTCAGGTATCGTCACATCGTTTTTCGTGCAGACATTCTGACCACAAGAGGATCGAAATACTAGCTTTCAAATACAAAGCGATGATCCTTATCTGATGCATTCCTATGTGCAATCTGTTACAAATCACTGTTCTGCATTTTTAATTACAAGCATTACTCATTTTAGTCAGCACCATTGGATTTTATTAGCAGGCCCCCAAATACAAAGGATAAAGGTCATGGAGACAAAAATGGTCCAATTATTAGATGCAATTATTTTATTCATTTATAATGACGACTGGACCAAAATGTCGGATCTACACACTTAGCAAAACATCCAGTTCAGTGTAGTTAGAAGTTTAGATGTTAAATAAAAAATCATGCCACGGTGTGTAACAATCCTAACCTACATTGTTTTGGCATGGCAAGTCATTTAATTATCAGGTTTATGCATCTATATTGGATCAATTTTCACCTGGTGCATTATATCTATGAACATATAAGAAAACAATTTTTCCCAGGTAACAGCTTTTTAAGTTGTCAGTTAATGTGTTCAATCCTTGTAATAGTTCACTCCAAATCCTGTAATGAATTTTCAGGTTTAAATAATTATCCGTTATGACTCATGCTTGTCTTACAATATGTAGTAAACTGGGCATTTACTACTCTACTTACATCATTTTAGTAGTTGCTACACACAGAGAAGTTAGTTTGTCGTGCAGTGGAAGACATAGCAATCGGTTGGAGTTTAACCAATAACCCGAAGACAATTATCCCCTTCAGAGTTGACTGTTTGAAAAAGCCGCATTTAACCTACAGTTAAATACCGTGGCTCAAGCTGAACAATCACGGACAGTGCAATTTTTCAAATGCTCATGAGATGTTTTCTCCTCCACACCTTGATCTACCACAAACACTATCTCTGATCCTTTTCCCCGAAAGAGAGAATGTGTAGCGTGAACCACGTTATCTTGCGAAAGTACTTCATTCACTGGGTTTCATTTGCTTCCCCAGATGTTGGTCTCCTCGGAATTTGACAGTGAAAAAATTCATGAAATTTACTGCGCTCGGTTTTTTCATTTGTCAAAGAAAGGCATTTCACTCACTTTTAGAATTCCCATTTTTCCAGAGGTAATGCAATATTTTGATCTAGCATATCTATTCTATAACTATTCCAGTTTCATCACTCACATAGACCATATTTTTCATAGTTTTTATACTGAAGTGTACCATGCAACCAGTTCATCATTATTCAACGCTTGAATAAAGCTTAAAAACCTTCTGTATTATATCAACCTGGGAAATTTCAGAAGTAATGTATTCAGATGCCTACTTTCATTTTGAGTTTTACCGTGGATAACTATGAAGTATGAATGTGAAACCTCACGAGTATTAAGTATTTTGCGGCTAAAAATGCAAATGCAAAGACTTTGAATTGGTTGAGAAACGGGTTTTAAACGAAACAAATAAAGTTTTACTAATTTGCAAAAGATAAATGAAATGAGGCATTATTGGTTATAGCATGCAACTATTGTATTACTCTATTATAAACAGAAGCTCTTGTAATCTAAGAAACTGAAAATCGGATGGTTCAAGACCCGATGGTATTTGTGCACAATTAATAGATTCTAACATAGATGACACATTCTATGGTGTCTCAAAACCCTGTTACTCATAACTTAACTGATCGCGCCACAAACATACCAGAATCTCTCTGAATACGCAAATTTGAAATCTAGTTGCTCGGATCTTCTGTGAGCTTTCAAAGTTAGTGTAACCTTCTAAGGGGTAACCGGTCTTCGCGAGTCGTACTGGGAGCAACAAGTTAGCCAATGAAATTCCGGTGTAACTCTAGATATATAGATCATACTCGTGTGTCCTTTGAATTCGGTCGCGCCATTTATCACGAAAATCATATTTACACTTTTGTGGGTTTATTTGTCATTAAATCGTATTGTTATCAATTTCAAGGACATCAAATGCTATCCCACACGAGCACGTTCATGAAACCGTTATGCACTATCGCGCGAACTGCGCCTTTTGTGAAATACTCCAACAATGTGAGAAATAAATTCAAGCGGATGATCAAAACACAAAACGGCGGGAGGAAGCATCGAGCAGGTTGGCAAGTTGCTCTCAGACAGTGCAGCACCAGTCAATTGCAAATTCTTCTCATTTTAACAAGCAATGTTCTTTCTCTGTTAGGAAAAGTCGAGGAGGTAGTAGACATCACACGGAAAAAGGAGTACAAAAACCTGGGAATTATTATGCTTCAGGAGTTGTGGCTACATGAAGAAATCCCTAGTGAAATTGTACAAGTGGATGGATATAACTTGTATCGGGTTGACCGTTCCGCGAGTGTCCGTAAACGAGGTGGGAGTGTTGCAAGTTACATCACCGAAACTGGAGTAAATCAACTGCTGTCATCCACGAATACTCGACGGGTAAAATCAGTTGTCATGTCATCGAATGTAAGCCCTGTTTTTTAATTGGGTTTCACTCCATCCTTCTTGGAAACTTTTACCTGTCACCCACAATATCATTTGCTGACATAAATAGCTTTTCTGACATTTTTACTACCTCCGTAATATCAAAAACAAGGGACTCTTTATGTATATTTGTTCGTAATTTCAACAGACATGATGTAACATTCCTCAACACTGGGTTTACAAAATTTAGTACTTTTTCCTATCAGACTAAATTCACAGCTTGATTTCGTTTTCACAAACAGACCACAATTTTTCAAAGTCCAGAAACGCGCTCCCCTGATCAGTTCAGACCATTGTATCTTAAAAGTATGTCCCACTGTATACAGCAGAACCAACCGGTAGACATTTTTAGAAGGTCTTACAAGATAGTGAATCAAAGAAATTGAACCTAGAAAGGCTAAGATCCATGATTGCCACCACTGAATTTTCGGTGTTTCCCGATCAGAACCCTTCTGTCCTCTGTGAACAGGTTACGCACTACCTTAATTTCTTTTTTAACCAGTATTGTACACTAGAAACGGT